GGCACCCTCCCCCCGGCCGCCGGGGGGAGAGCGGAGCCCCCGCCGGGGCTCGCCGCCCTCACCCCGGGGCTCTGGCCACCCTCCCCCCCGGCGCCCTCCCCCCAGCCGCCGCCCCCCCCCCCCCCGGGGGGGGGGGGGGGGGGAGGCGGCCAGAGGCTTTTTTGCCTGGGGCGGCAAAAAAGCCAGAGCCGGCCCTGCCCATAAGGCAGGTAAAGAAGAGGAGAGAGGTTATGAAAGAGCTAGAAAGAGAGATTCAGGGGCAACAAGCAGGGTTCACAATGGACAGAGAGGGGAGACAGAGAAATGCTGGAGAAGAGAGGGAGAATCTGGAGGGAAGAGTTGCACAGCTATAAAAACTGTCTCTGGACAAACCCAAAAAACTACTTTTTTAAAGGGGGTTTATGCTGGTGTAACTTGGAAGTTACACTAGTATAACGAGGTTAATGGAGTGGTGAAACAGGTATATTAATCCTATGCATACATAAACACAAAGGTATGAGATTTTAGAACCATCTAGTATATCATGTTAGTTCAGATATTGTTTTGTGACCAAATGACCTTGACCTCTGGGCAATAGCCTTTGTTCAGAGGACCTGTGTAGTGCTTGGGAAGACAGAATTCTTCCCTACTACCCCCAACAGGTCGGGGCTTCTGCAATTAGCTACTACACTGGCTCTGGGGCTTCCTTTCCTGGCAACATTGGCACTCACAAGGTTTATCTTCATTGTGGCAACCTCCATTCCCCCAGACCTCCTTAAAGAGCCAGGGGGTTCTCCAGTGCTGAGAGGCCACTGCGGGAGAGTTAGTACAACCTCAGACTGCATTAACATTCCGGTGGCATTCCTACAAGCTGCTAAGTGAGGCAAAGCTCATCTTCCACCTACCTACAATTTCACCCCCTGCCTGCCCAACACTTCCATATTCTTATCCTGAACCTCTAGATAACCCTTAATGGTCAAAAAACATAGTAGAGGTTGCTGATCCCCCTCCTTTTACAGGTGCAGATCATTGTGACATGATCTAGCCCATAGAAAATGCTTTGAAAATGGATTAAGAGCAAAATTTGACTAATATTGTTATTTAATTCCATAATTATTTTAGTTAAATTTATAGGAACTTGGGGTTCTCTTACCTCAGGTGAGAGAGGAGTTCAGGGACACCTCCATCAGAGGATGAGGAATGAGGTAAGGGCTGATTAGCCCAAACCTATTAATATGTTCTTCTTATGTAAAAATATTTTAGGCACTCAGCTGATTGTGTGTAAATCTCATTAATTTAAAAAGGGATTGTACACATTTACTGTAATGGAGGGCAGGATTGGGCCCATAGTCAATTATTTCCCCTATTTTAAAGTCTCTGGTATAATGGTTGTGTTTCTTTTTTATCTGATCTTCCATAGTAGTAATACTGCATCTAAACATTGCTAAGCTGGAATGTGTGGGTGGGTGTCAGTGCAACTGGGTTCAAAACAAGTGTATGAGGTGCCTAAAACTTTCATTTTCAGTGTATCATTTTCAAATCTGACACACTCTTAACCCTTGGTACATATTACTATATCTAAACTCCTATTCAGATCAGTAGCATTCTGCAAGCTGAAAATCTACACTGTGGGGTAGATATAGTGGAAGACTGATGCATAGTAATAAAACGCACCAAACATGTATTTGGAGTAGCCAGTTTTCAGAGTAAATAACTGCTGTGTTTTGTTATTTATTTATGAACAACAGAATACAGAAGTCCATTTTGCTGCCAAAGAGTTACATTTTCAAAAAGTTAAAATTAATTAAAACTGTGCAGCTAAAATCCTATTCAACACTTTCAAATTTTACCTCTAAAAAGCAGCAGCAAACTTCAGTTTTTAGATGAAGCCAAGTCTTCTTTATAAATTCAATTTCAGTGACTACAAAATATGGAGTTATATTTAAAATAATTGAATTATTTTTAAAGAGGAAATACTTTGTTTTCAGGGTTACATGCCAAGCTTCAATCCAGTGCAATTTCTAAACTCTTGAAAGCAGGATTTTCATAACACAAATGGCAACTGTCTTTACTATAGCTATGCTAGCAAGTACTGCTAATATAAAAAAAAGCTATTATAAACACTTCCATTTTTAATTCAAGGACATTTCTTAAAAATATGTTAAATGTTAGTATTTTATTTTATACATTTATAAATTTAAAAGTACAAGTTTTGCTACTCTAAGCAATACTAAATACCAAAAAAAGAAACAGATGGCTTTTGGTCTTATACTCTAGTTTCCTTGTAACTTCTCACATGATCATTATAACTGAATGGAAAAGAAAATATGTTTCTTCCATAACTACAAGAAACCTGTCACCTAATCAGAAAAGACACCACTATCTTCAGATGCAAATAACACTTTTCAATATTAACCACACTTTACATAAAATGTACCCGCAGGATAAGAATTACAGCTGTATTATTAAGAGAAGAAATATGAGAAGTGGAATTATGCATGCAGACACTGAATCGAGTCCATGCTGCTGTTAGGGAATGAAGACTGCCAGGCATTATACAATAGATCTTTCTAGGTTTCTAACATTCTGAAAACTGCAAAGCACTGCACTTCTGTTTTTAATTATTGTAATAAGGCAAAGGACATTATTAGTAAAAATCTAACTGCTTGGGAGTGTTTGAGAGAATGACACATTTTGGAAGGCTAGCTTTTCTTATTTATTTCAAGAACTTTCATGTAATTTTGTTTTACATAAGACTCGATCCATCTTAATGTTAAGGAAAATTAGAATAACAGCAACAAAAAAGAGGGCTACTAAATCTGTTTGCAAAGCTCACACTGACAACTGGAAAATCTGAAAAAATTACAACTTAATGCACCAGCTATGACAATCTATAATAAACATCTCATTGTCCCACCTTGAACACATCTAAATGCTTTATACAGTGGAGTTGTGGTCCAATGCTTAAAAAAATGGACTGGGAGTCAGGAGTCCTGGATACTTTTCCTAGCTCTCCCACTAACTTGTGTGATTTCAGTAAGTCTCTTAACCTTTCTGTAACTGAATTTACCCAATTGTATAAAAGGGGATAACAGAGAGCAGCTGTGCAGCATAGTTCATATCAGTAATATGCTTTTGGATTATGAATGAAAAGTGCTAGATAGGAACAAATACTATTTTGTATACTGATTTGCCACTATTAATTGCGGTTTGCTTCACGAACCTCCTCTAGGATTTCAGAGCCCAAGCCCAGACCCAGGAGCTCTGCAGATTGCATGGATTCTGCAGCCCAGAAAACTCCTAAGGAGGAAGCACCGCTCTAGGGCACCCATGAAGCACGTACATGGGCTGCCAAATTCTTTCCTAGATACTGGAATAGCAGGGCCCACATGATTGTCTCATATGGCAGTCAGATACTGGGAAGGTGCTGAGCATGGACAATGTCTCTCCGATGTCCAGAAAGACATGGGTGCTTCACTGGCTTTCCTAAAGGAATCTGGGGGAACTTTAAAGAATCTGTATGGGCCAAAGACAGTGTCTTTTCACCCTAACCACTGAGGCAATGAACTTTGCACACCGAGCTAACTTTTACTAGCATTGAGCATACCATTGTACAGTTTACAGAGTCTGAGGGTCTTACGTGCCCTAGAGATCCATGACAACTGGGGTCACGATTGGTCTGTCAGTTACTACAACAAAATGCATCGTTCTATTAATTTGTGGGAAGAGTACTTTTCAATAAGATGTGTGGGAGCAGCTGAGTTAGCTGTCTAGGCTTGTAATTGGATGGAAATGCTTGTGTACTAGTGCTCAAATGACCAGCAAAGCATTCTCCACCTCATCTGATAGCAAATTTTGATTTTAGGACTATGTTTAAAAGATTCCATGGTTACATAAAAAGTTTTAATCTTGTATTTTATCACTCGATTACAGTGGGGGCCAGATCCTCAGCTGATGTCAACCAGTATAGCTCCATTAACTGAGGATCTGACCCATGGTTTGCCCACAAAAACATACAGTAATAAATACAATGATATATACAAGATGGAAACTCTATCTAGGGTTATTCTGCAATATACCATTTTTCTTTTGACCAATTTTTTACAGCAGACATGGTTTCAAGTTTATAGGTTACTTTTTCAAGATAAAGTATTATCAAGAATGTTTAGAATTCATAACGGGATGTTGTAGTTTGTACCCAGTGGCACCTCCATCAGAGGTTGAGGGGGATATACTACCCTAAGCTCAGACATTTTTTTAGACCTCTGTAAAACTCAGCTTTGAATTTCTTTGCTTTTATTGGCTTAAGTTTCACCCTTTATGTTATGTCAATTTAGGCTTTTGTTCTTTTTAACATGACCCTTTTTCTCTTTCATGGTATATGCGAGCATTACTTGGAATAGATTGAACTATACGGCTGCCTTCTCCATAGACTTTCCCCACTATGACTGGCTGAAGGCCGCACCATGATTTATAATATATTCTGTGAATCCATCACTGATTTTGTGTGTATGTTCTGTCTAGTCTGAGGAAGGGCAGAAAGTCGCTCAGCCTAAATCTTCTCAGGAACTGTCAAAGAAAGATATCCTTACACGTATACAAGAAGTAGTGACTGCTCGCTTTAACACCATTGCACAAGAATTTAAAGATATCGATTGTGAGAAAGTTAATACAGTATCAAAAGAGGACTTCCGGGGTATTTGCAACCGTCACTTTCTGCTTCTGACAGATGAACAAGTAAGAAAAGTATTGATTATTTAAGTGTACAATTAACTAGATTGGCATAGAGTATAGGGATGTGTGTATACATGCTAGTGTATATATGCAAGTAACCTGATATTTTTGGTGCAAAACAAAAGGGATTGGAGAATATTATTTCATAAATATTTATTGCTGCAATTATGAGGGATTGCTTTTTCAATAATATCTGAGTATGTATGTGAACTACAATAATTGCACGCTCCCTAAAGGTAAGCAGTACGTAGTGCATACCTATATTAGGATACCAGCAGAATAAATTCAAATGTCAGTTGCACAAATCTTTAGGCACACTCTAGGCCTACAGTCCTGATGAGGAGTCTGTCTGTCTTTGTTGCATAACCATTCTGGTCCCTCAACAGGATCTCCACTGGTTAAATTCTGTTCTCAGATATACAGTGCAGCTTTCATTGAAGTCAGCGGGAATAGCATGCGTGTAGCTGAAAGCTGAACTTGGTCCATTGGGTCCAATTTTTCCCGAAAATATATGGTCACAACTCCTATTGATTTAAGTGGAAGTTACACACATTTATACAAGGGAAAATTGGGCTCCAAGTCTACTTTTTTCTTTTGCATCTTCTGACCATTTTTAAAGCTTTCTATGTGCCAGATCCTGCAAGCCAGGCTGGAAGTCAAAACAGCTTGGTCTAAGGGTCAGATTCTCAGTTGGTGTAAGGAGGCATAGCTCCAGTTAAGGCAATGGAGCTATATCAGTTTACACCAGCTGAGGATCTGGCTGTAAGTATTTTATTCAAAGGACTTTATTAGGTCTAGACTATACATTGGTGCACACGAGATGGGGAGAGGATGCAAGAAATCCTCCATCCTTGTGCCCTGTGCAGTGTCTGGATACAGTAGTAGTCTTTACATCTCCCTGAGCCAAGGACTTCTCAAGTCCAGTTGTATTGCTGTGCTCACATCAGCCATCATACGGATTAGCTGAGTTGACTTGCTCATGCAGAGACAGAGACTTCATCCTCTGCAAGGATGGCATAACGGCCTTGCTATCCTATGGACATTGAATACATTGTATCTATCGGAGCCACAAGGACTCCAGGAGTTTCTGCTCAAGTGGCAAGTTTCTGCCCTGCTCCCTACAAAACCTGCACACAGTTTGACTGAAGAGCTTATCCCATCTTGATTCCATTAAATTCCTGTACTTCCATATCAACAGAGAAATCTGTAAAAGTTCTTCTATCATTTGTGATTTTTGTGTGCCAGGAGGTTTTTTTCTCTTGGACAGATACCCTCTTGGCCACTGTATTTTCCAACATTTGCTTGACTGCTTCAGTGAATATTTTTTCAGGTGGAAGATGTGCTTTTGATAGCCCCCGATTCAGAACTGTATTCCATAGGACCACCTGCTGCACTGACTTACTGTTGCCAAAGTAACTACAGTTCACCCACTTCATAGACAGCTGAGTTCCTTGCAATTTTTCAGTTCTCTGACTCTTCATATTCACATATGTTGAATAACCATATTTCTTGTTCTTGAGAATGACTCAAGAGTAGTCAGATTACTTCTGTAGGCACTGGCTAGGAGATCAGCTGCTAGAGGAAACTATGTCAGCAAATTCATCCATGCTGTCTGGCAGTGGTACACAGGGACTCCTTCATTTTCTTTATAGTAATCTTCATAAGTGTCTTCTGTCATTTGCTTGTGTTAATAACTTTACTGTCTGACTGAGCTTCCAGAGGAAGCTTCACCAGCATCAGTCAGCAAGCTGGTGGCTTTGGTTTCCATGCTCCCCTTAGCAGGGAGAAAACTAACAATCGGGAAAAGACAAATAAAAGTTGAAAGTCTTCTAATACCAAGACTTATTGGCACAATTCAGCAGCTCCATGCTAACCTCTTTTGGATGGACACTGCTGCAGATTCTTTTTTGGATTGTACTGATGTTCCCCATGAAATGATAAGTGATTTGTAAACAGAAAACCATCTAGTCGCTGGCCATGTTCCTGATCATACAGGCCCCCGAGCTAGCGTGTTTTCAGTGAGATCTGGTCAAGGGTCTTGATCTGGGTTCCTTGCAGATGGGGTATGCTGCTATGTCTGATCTTCAGTCCCCTCTGCTGAGGTGCATTGGCTGGGGTGTCGTGTGAGGTTTTGCTCTAGGTTCCTTGGCACCTGCTTGGGGTGCCCTTGGTTCGTTGGTTCTCTGAAGTTGAAACTGGTGCTCTTTATCCTACTGTCATGCAGGATAAAGGTACTGCAGGTACTTGCAGTTTTCTGTTGCTGCTTCTTTAGACTGAATGTTTTCTTGTACTATTGATCTGTCTGTATCCATCAGTTGTCTCTTGTCATATACTTTAGATTGTAAACTCTTTGGGACAGGGACTGTCTTTTTGTTCTGTGTTTGTCCAGTGCCTAGCACAATGGGATCCTGAGCCATGACTGCGCCTCCTAGGCATTATGATAACACAAATAATAAATAACAACAGAGGCAGGCATAAGAGTTAGTTGCTGGCTGGTTGCTAAGCAACTAATCTTCTTTCTCGGCAGCTGTTTGGTCTCTCATCCTCCTGGGGCAAAGGAAGTGACAGTGGTTTGGAGCTTCTCTCTAGGAAATCTCTTCCACTGCTCAGCTACATTTCTAAAGCTCCCACTGGATCAGCTGCAGCCTCAGTGGAGCTTTTTATGCCCTGACTGCAGCTTGAATTTGGCAAGAATGACTCTGATTAGCCTGCAGTGCTGAGACAATGGAATCCAGCCCCTCACCCTCCTCCCAGATTCTATATCTGCTAAACCAAATGTGAATAGTGCTGCAGCTTCCTTGGCTGGAGTTATCGTTATTCTGTCAGAATGGGATTTCTGCCCCAAAGGCAGGGTGGATAGAAAAACAGAAGGCAGCCTGAGCAGAGATTTCAGTAGCTCAGCAGCTGTCCAACATTCCTGCTTCACAAGAGCAGCCATGTCATAATGCGACAACCTGAAAAATGTGGATCCTCTAAACAATAAAGAGTTCCTCACTGCTTTCTACAAAATGTCCCGAGTGACTTTTTTCGTAGCAGATACATCCATGGATTTCCAAGTCCCCGCATTTCACAGCTAGACTCCAAACTGTGGCAGAGACTGTGGCCCTATGGCATAAATTTGATCTAGTTGGTACTATTGAAGTCTAGTGGGATGACTTGGATGATTGGAATGTTAAAATAATGGTTATAACCTATTTAGGAAGGATTGAGTGGGGAAAATGGGAGGAGGAGTGGCTCTTTATAAAGTCGACAATGGCATTATCTGTTTCCATGTTACTGGTAACTCAGAAGAAATTGTCTTAAATGCTTATGGATTAATGTCCTAGAAATAAAGCACAAGATGGGAATGAGTTGGTGTCTGCTACAGACCACCAGATGACACTAGGAAACAAGAAAACTGACTTCTCACACACTTATCTATAATGTATAGGGGAAAAGGCTGTATGACCTTGGGGGACTTCAGGTAGAGTAACATATGCTGGATGTCTCAGGCCTCCAGTACTAAAACATCCTTGGAGTTTCTAAATGTTCTAGATGACAATTTCCTAACTCAAAAAGGGGGGATTCTATATTAGATCTTGCCTTGACAGATAAAGAGGAACTGATCACAGAATTAAAAATTTATGGCAGGTTAGATATGAGTGATCACGACTTGATCATACTTATAATGTGCAAACAGAATAAAGTCCAGATCAGAACTATCTCTACTTGGTGCTTTAAAAAGGCCAATTTCACAAAGCTGAAAACAATTGTGAGCCAAATCAGCTGGGAGGAAGAATTTAAACAGAAAAATGTGAATGATAAGAGGGAATTGTTTACGGACACTTTACTAGATGCTCCAAAAGCCACAATCCAACAGTGGAGGAAATAATATGTTATAAATGGAAGAAAGGGGAAGTTGATAGTAATGAACATAAGTCAGAAGCTAGGAATTATAGACAATTGAAAAGGAAAGCAAAGGGACACAAGAAGATCAATGGCCAACAGAGTTGATGACACCAAGAAGGTTTTTAAGTATACTAGGAACAAAAAGAATCCCAACAATGGTATTGGTCCTTTACTAGATGGAAATGGTAGAATTATCAATAATAATGCAGAAAAGGCAGAAGTGTTGAATAAATATTTTTCTTCTGTATGTGAGAAAAAAACAGATGATGTAGTCATATCATATGAGAACACTTTCCATTCCATCTCAGGAGGATGTTAAACAGCAGTTACTAACGTTAGACGTGTTTGAATCAGCAGGTAACTATCATCCAGATAACGATCATTGGAACAATGGGGAAGACTGGAAGAAACCTAATATTGTGCCAGTATTTAAAAAGTATAAACGGGATGACCTGGGTAATTATAGGTAAGGCTACAATTTAATCACAGAGGTTGTGGAAGTCACGGAATCCATGACTTCCGATGACCTCCGTGACTTCAGCCTGTGATGGTCGGGAGCCCGGGGTTTCCCCCGCTGCACACGGGGGCAGGGAGCTCCAGAGTACCACAGGTGGTGGGGGTACCCTACAGCTCCTGGCTGCCGCCGGTGGCAGAGGAACCCCCGAGTTGCTGGCTGCCGCGGGTGGCAGGGGAACCCCCAAGCTCCTGGGCAGTGAGGGAACCCCTGAGCTCCCAGCTGCCACAGGTGGGGGGGAACCCCCGAGCTCCCGGCCACTGCGGGCCCCCAGAGCTGCAGGAGGTACCCAGCAGCTCCTGGCCACTGCAGCTGGCGGGGGGACCCCTTGGAGCTGAGGGCAGCAGAGATACCCTGCAGCCCCCAGCTGCTGCAAGCGGTGGGGACCCCCACAGCTCCTAGCTGCTGTACAGCTGCCCTGCAGATCCCCATTTTGTCACAGAACTTTTTAGTAAAAGTCATGGACAGATCACAGCTTCTGTGAATTTTTCTTTATTGCCCTGACCTTCTTGTGACTTTTACTAAAAATATCCGTGACAAAATCTTAGCCTTAATTATAGGCCTGTCAGTCTGACATCGATCCCAGGCAGGATAATGGAGCAGCTGATACAAGATTGAATTAATAAAGAATTAAAGGAGGGTAATATAATTAATGCCAATCAACATGGGTTTATGGGAAATAATTTCTGTGAAACAACTTGTAATATCAAGTTTGGATGACAAAAGTAATAGTGTTGATGTAATACTTAGACTTCGGTGAGGCATTTGACTGTGCCCTGGACAACATTTTGATTTAAAAAACTAGAAGGATATAAAATTAATATGACTTATGAAATGAGCCAGGAACATCAACCCCAGAGGAAAGTCCTGACAGAAAACCCAAAACACTTCTTCATTCCAAGTAAAACACTCAACACGACAGCTAAAGAATGGGCCTAAAACCAGACCCTAGGTTGGGAGGGAGAATGGGCAGCGCCCAGAATCAAGGTATGAAGTATTTCACTTTCCCTTTTTAGGAGCAAAAAGCCTCCCCCTCCACCTGAAGAGTCCTCCACCCTGGATTCCATAGTCTTTAGAGTAAAAAAGCAGTCAAGGGGAGTGGTAGCTGTTTTACAGCTCATAAAGCTCAATAAGCAGATGACAAAATAAAAATAATGGGATGGAAACTCTGCCATCCATGATAGCAACTAGCAGGGTGGGCCTGATTCTCATTTACACAAAGGCCCCTTTATACTGCCAGATATTATGTCTCTTCAGGTGATATTTTGATATTGACAGGCCCTGCAAAGCCATGCGTACATACAGCTATATGATGTTGCCATGGCAGATCTTTCCAATCTGCATACAGCAATTTCTGCTCCTAATACAAGACCCTGCTGTTAAGGCTGTTATTGCTCAAAGTCTTTACTCAAGTGTTACTAATGGTCATTGCCAGGATAGAGACACAAAGGACCTCACCGTTATCCCTTTCTGGATGATGCCCAACTTTTAATTACATTAGAAAGGCTCAGTTGGAATCCATGTAACACTATAGATCAGAGGTGGGCAAACTATGGCCCGCGGGCCACATCCGACCCGCAGGACCGTCCTGCTTGGCCCCTGAGGTCCCGGCTGGGGAGGCTCGGTCCCGGCCCCTCCCCCGCAGCCTCAGCTCGCTGCGCCGCCAGCGTTCTGGCACACCACTCCTGCTGGGCAGCGGGGCGGCGTGGCTGGCTCCGGCATGGGAAGGGGGCGGGAAGGGGGAGTACTGGGATGCAGTCAGGGGACAGGGAGCGGTTGGATGGGGCGGAGAGTCTGGGGAGGCGGTCAGGGAATGGCAAACGGGGGCTGGATAGGCTTGGGAGTCCCGGGGGTCCTGTCAGGGGTCAGGGGTGTGGATAGGGGTCGGGGTAGTCAGGGGACAGGGAGAAAGGGGGGTTGGATAGGGGGTGGAGTCCCAGGGGGCAGTTAGGGGGAGGGGGTCCTGGGAGGGGACGGTCAGGGGACAAGGAGCAGGGGGGGTTGGATGGGTCGGGGATTTTGAAGGGGGCAGTCAGGAGGCGAGAAGTGGGAGGGGGCGGATAGCGGGCAGGGGCCAGACTGTTTGGGGAGGCACAGCCTTCCCTACCCGGCCGTCCATATAGTTTTGCAACCCCAATGTGGCCCTCGGGCCAAAAATTTGCCCACCCCTGCTATAGATGGAGTATTTCATATTAAAAATAAGTTTCACATGGTCTGGTCATTCTTCGTGAAGCAATGGAAAAATCAAGACTCTGTTGTCATGGACCGTTTTGTAAAAGTAGAGGGCTTAGCCATGGTGCTCTTGCCAAATGCCAGGGAGGTATTTATAGTGTATCTACCTAAAACTCTCTCCCTCCTTTTCTACAGTTTCCATTGTATGAACATTCTGCTTCTTCTCTTCTTGAACTCAACTGTTGCTATATGCCATCCCAAAAGTGGCTGTAATATTTAATGTTTGTAAAGCACTTCGAGATCCTCAAATGAAATGTGAAGTAATTTTTTTTTTATAATTCATGACATGGTAGCAGCCAGGCCAATGGGGGAAAGTTGAAAGAACGTTCAAAATATACGTTTGCCCTTTGAAGTTTGACTGCAAGCTTGCCATATCCACCAAAGCCCTAGGGGTGACTAGCTTCCTTGAGGGTTTACGTTTCTGCTGAAAAACAGATTAAGTCAAGAGCAGTTTAAGTTTCACAATTTGATTATATTTAGAAAAAAAATCAGAAATGAAGGCTTTAAAAGGAGTGCTACTGCCTACTGAAGCATGGTTTAGTGTGACTCATTTGACTGTGAAGTGTGATACCCTTACTTACATTGATTAGTAGTTTATACCATGAGTAGTCCCATTTAAGTCAATGGAACTACTTGTGGAATAAAGTACTATTCAGTGTGGATAAGTGTATTGCAGTCTGGCCCTTAGAATTCTGTAAGTTGCCATTGGGCCAGATTCTTTATTATTATTTGATTGTGGTAGTACCTAGGAGCCTTAGTCATGGATCAGATCCCATTGGGCTCACAACTTGGGGTCTGATCAGAGAACAAAAAGAGCCCTGCCGCAAAGAGCTTGCAATCTGAGTATAAGACAAGAGACAACAGATGAATACAGATAGACTAGAGCAGGGGTCGGCAACGTTTGGCACGCAGCTCGCCAGGGTGCTTGCCCGGCCCGCCAGGGTGCTTACCCTGGCGAGCCGCATGCCAAATGTTGCCAACCCCTGGACTAGAGAATACAAGGAAACAATGAGACGGTATTGGTCAGCATGCAAGGCAATGGTATCAGAATACCAGCAGCCCGTTATTTTTTTTTAGTCAGCATCACAGAAATGGAAAGTTTTAAGGATAGTTTTGCAGCTGTTTATGGGAAGCTCCTCTCAATATATGGGGCAGCATGGGAGAAACCACAAGTTGCCTGTTTGAAAATTTAACAAATGGACCATAGATGTTGACTTAATGGGTCTGTCAAAGGCAGGTGTAATGAATGAGAGATGATGGGTGGGGTGAAGGGCCTTCAGAGTGAAGACAAATAGCATTTTTGGTATGACAGGAAAGACAGAACCAGTGGGAAGATGTAAAGTGACAGGCTAGGAACATGACCTTCGCAGCAGCATTCTGAATTAATATGAGCAGGACAAGATTTGATTGGTCAATGCCAGAGAGAAGGATGTTGCAGTAATCAAGAGGTGAGATGGACAAGAGTGTGTGTGGATGGATAGGAAAGGCTATATCTTAGAGATGATATGCAGAGAGAATTTGCCAGATGTAGATATAGCCTGGATGTGAGGATCTAGAGAGAGGTCCAAGTCAAAGATGACACCCAGGTTTTGGTCCTTGGTGACTGGCAGGATAGTGGTGTTATCCACGGTGATCAGGAAAGGAGATGGGGGAGTCTATGAGGTGAAAGATCAAGAGTTCTGTTTTAGCCATGGTGAGCCCGAGCTGATGGCTAGACATTCATGAGGACTTGTGAGAAAGGCTGAAATTTTAGTTTTGACAGAAAGAGACAAGTCTGGAATATAGAGGTAGTTCAACTAACTTACTGTACCAGTAATCCCATTGGAATCAATGGGACCATTCATGCAGTGAGGGGCTATTCAGCATGAATAATAAGGGTCAAGGGTGCTGGAATAATTTGTATAGTGGTGGTGCTGAGAGCCACTGAACCAAATTGTAAACCCTGTATATGATAAAAACCACTTCAAGCTAGGGTGTGCAACAGCACCCCCAGCACCCCTAGCTCCAGCACCTATGATAAGGGTATCTGAATCTGGCCCCATCTCTTCTGAAGTAATACTGTATATTATACTGATGCAGTTCATGACACTATATTTTAACTATATAAGGCTGTAAAAGGCTGTAAAGTTTTCCTACGGCATTCATTTAAGTTTTGCAATGAGACATTTTTGCCCTCAGAGTGAAATAAAATTGTTGATGCAAATACAATAACTGAAAAATCTGAACAGCCTGTTGAGATGTTAGTAGAATTTAGGTGCACCTGATAGAATGAGAAACTTGCTTCATGGTACTTAGACAGGATGCAGGTGCATCGTGCATTTGATTTACATTTTCTGTTAAAGCATTCTTATATACTGTAGCTCAGTCAGTGTCTAATCAGAAGGTTTAATAGTCTTAAACAGCTCACTAAGGGCCCAGTTCAATTAAAAAACGTCCTACAGAAATCCCTTTTTCATTGTTTTCCCAGACTTACACAGACTTCTGCAGAGAAGCTGTAAATTTTTTTATTAAATTAGGCCCTAGGATTCCTGTGATTCCAAGTCACTTTCAACAATTTCTTTAACAGTCTTAGTACATAATATACTTTTCCAGCTAGCATTTACAAAAATGGTCTTTTGCTTCTCCATTAGTTTGAAAACCTCTGGAATACAGTGCCTGTTGATGCCGATGGAAAACTGAAGTACTGTGATTTTTTGAAGAAGTTCAACTCCGAAGTAGTGACAATGCCATCAGATTCTCCATCCACAAACAATGCTCCATGTTCCTCCAAGCCCACTACCCCTGCTGAGCCTGGGTCACGGTTACCTTCTCAACCTTCACGTCCCAAGACAGCATCTTCTCCATTAGGTCAAGTAAAAGTAGGTGTTTGATCACTTAAGGACTTTTCTAGGTTTTCACATTTATTAAGGGCCTGATCCAATACCAATAGAAGTAAATGAAAATATTCCCACTGACTTCACTGGGCATCAGATCAGGTCCAAATGTCTGTTGATAAGAAGCTTTGGCACTTAGCAGAGAATTTGGGATGATAAAAAAAATGGACTTGATCCTCGGTAGATATAAACTGAGTAGCTCAATTGAAACCAATGGTGTTATGCTGTTTATACCGGCTGGGGATCTTGGCCATTGTCCTACTAACTCACAAATGAGTCATATTGCAAATAAATACCTGTTATTTAACATAGGACAGTCACATTTGTGGAAACAAAGTAAACAGGCCCAGCCATAAAAGCTCAGATGCTGAAAAAGCAACATAAAAAATGTAAGATTTTTACCCGTAGGTCACCAGCCCAAGCTAGTATTGACCAAAAGTTATTAACCTCTGATAGCTGTTAGGCAGTGTGACGGGGCAGACTGGCCCCGCACTGGGACTGAGAGAGTTAACCCTTCCCTGCTGGCAGAGGAAGCCACGCCCCTGAGGCTCTGCTGGGCATGCTCCAACCGGGAGTCAAGCATAAAAGCCTGCAGAACTGCTCAGTCAGGGCTGGTGGCTGGGGAAGGAGGATGCCCAGCAGAAGCTCCAGCCCAGGAGCAGTTGCAACCCTTCCAGGAGGGAGCTGAGGAGCCAGGAAGCAGGCCCAGAGACTGGCAGCTGTGCGAACCCCAGGAGCATCGGGTGCTGAGGAACCTGGAGACCCTGATGCCACAAGGACTGCTACGTTTGGCGGACTGGTAGGAAGTTACTCAGGGAAGGGAGTGGTATCTCCCACCACTCTGAGGGCAGCGTGTTGCGGTAGGATTCCCCGCTGACCCGTGGCGGATCACGCCATCACTGACAGGGCCCTGGGTCAGAGCCCGGTGAAGGCGGGTGGGCCTGGGCTCCCCTACTGGGGGTCTCTAACCCCCCTCCCCTTTTGGGGGATGACATAGTTCACTGACCCCTCTCTCACCCCAAAGGAGGTAGATGAACTCCGGCCGCTGGGCCACGCTATCCCCCGGGGGGAAGAATTTAGAAAGACTCTGGCCACTAGGCTGCACTATCCTGCCGGGCGAAGAGAGTGTAGAGAGACTCTGGCCATTGGGCCCCACTGCTTTAGGAGCACACTATAGGGACTCTGGCCACTGGGGAAGGCGGATTTGAGGGACTCTGGACATTGGGCCATACAGCCCTGACTACCGGGGACGTAGTAAGACCAACGTAGATGCAGGGAGGCGGGGTTAACCTTGCCCCCCCCCTTGAATCAAAGGGGTTGACGAGGTACAAAACCCGCCACAGGCAGTCTCTAGGAAATGTATTGGTGGTCTGAGTCCAGTTTTTGGTGAATGTTTACTTGGGTCACAAAATCTACCATCACAATTGGCAGCCTTCTCTTCAGACTCAGCACGGAGGCCAAAGACTGAATGGACAGAGGGACTAACCTGGCCCCATCTCCCATTTTGGTTAGAAGCACCTTGACAGGGCAATGTAGGGGAGTTTTTCCACTACAGCTTTCCAGGACTGCAGTCTCCTGGAATATCTCTCTGGCATCTCTCCCAAGCACTAACATTCATAGAAGATTATGAAAATCTTAAAAGGAGAAAGAATGAAAGAGTTAGCCAATATTCCTCCTGACAGTTTGAATCTCTTGGCTGTATATTCTTCTAGTCAGCAGCTTATAAATTCTTCAGTGCTTGGAAAAAATGATTCATATTACTGCTGACTATACTTAGATGTTTAGCTGTTGAAAAAGCGGTAGCCAATTGAATAGATTTAAAGATGCAACAAACTTCCCACAGTTGGTAAGTCTAAAAGCATTGGCCTGTTGTGAACTTGATGATTGATCTGTAAGTCCTTGCATTGGAGAGGCCTGACAGTTGGTCACATGCTTCATTTTTGACTAAGGGATTGATCAAATTCCCACTGAAGTCAACGGAACTTTCCTCATTAACTTCAGTGGGAATTGGATCTGGACCCAGAAAGATCATAGAAGAGGAACACAGGCCCCCCCAAAATGCACATCTCTGGAACAGCCCCAGCTCAACCTCATCGCCATGCATCTCCCTAGAAGTGCCCTCGTGGCTGTGCATAAAAGGGGTACGGGGATCATGGCCAAGATTTATGATGCAAGCCTGAGATCTGCAAGAATACACAGCAAAGACCCAGTGAATATTGCATTATACTCTGGCTCCCTTCACAAATGTCAGTGCAGCTCACACCATACTGCTAAAGGCTGAGGTCTTACAAGCCCATGCTTAATCCCTCCTTATTCTCAGAATGAATCATAAATTCTACTGAGTAAGGAACCTACTACAAAGAATAATTGTTCCCCTTCTCCTGGTCACACCCTCTTCTGCTGCTGAGGAGAGCTCCCCTGTGGTGATCTCTGAAGGGAAAGAGGTGGTTGGAGAATATACAGGGAACATACTCTGCACCCTTCCAATTCTTTTCTGTCGGAATGGGGCTTTACTGTTCCTCTCCATGCTGCCTAAAGAGAGGGGAATATATGATCACATTATAGGTAGGCTTGGCAGAATTCGGGTTTTTTTTTGTAATTGACAGATAATATTGATGTTTATTTTTAAGCATTTTTGACATCTATTGATTTAGATTTTCAAAGTTGTAGGAAATTATAGGGAGAACATACAAAGCGAGGGGTCAGACAGCAGTTATTTATGACAGTAGATATTGAGACTTTAAGTTAGTTTTATAACCATTAAAACACAAATTGTCAACACTACATGTTGAAATCTACAAAATAAATATTCCTATATCAAACTCTATTAAATTCTCAAGCAGCATTTTTCTTACTTTGCCTGTCTGTAAATTTCAGTTATAATCTGACAATATTTTTGTTGGGTTATGTGTATATGGTGAAATCGTTGTTTACTGACATTTACTGATAATCTAATACTTTCAAGCCTAATTATAAGGTTCTTGTACTTACTGTTAAAATTTATAGTAAGCAAATTAGTATACTTGCTTTAAATTGTCGCTATCCAAGAACTTGTGCATCGATCTATTTATTGTGAGATTGACATCAAATTACATATCTTTTAAAAACAAATATATCTGCCACTTAAGGAACAATAGGTTCAAGGGGGAATATATACAACTGAGCTATGAGTTGAGCAGACTCAAGAAATTACAGACAGAAAAACACTCGGTAGATTCAAGGTAGATCAATTTCCAGCCTACTAATACGTTCATCCAAGTAGAAGCATTTTTACTTTAATGCTGACCCAAATCAGATCATAAATAAGGATGCATGAGGTATGCTAAAGTTCTGAAGCACTAGAACTGGGATTTTTTTAGTGTTTTGTCTACCTAAATATTCAAATTTGCCTGTTACTTTAGACTCCAATGTCCAGCCGGCCTCGTACTGCAATGGCATGGTCCCCACCTTTACTGAACTGCGAACCAATAGAAAATAAAATAAGAAAGATCATTCAACATTCCTGGAGAGAAATACTGAAAGACTGTAGAGAGAAGGATGTTGACCGACTAGGAGAAATCTCAACATCTGATTTCTTAGGTTTGTTGCCATCTGAAAATTGTGTTCCCTCATGTTAAAATGTGCTCCCGTTTCTTTCTAGGTGCCAATCTATGGGAAAACACTGCCCTCAACAAGTGGTATCAGCTGCATGAGCGATCCAATTCTGTAATGCAGAGTGAGGTTTGGGGGAATGCACTACTAGGCAGACTTCGCTGCTCATTTGAAAGGGAGAGCATGGTTTTAGCTGGTGTTTGCTACACAGCATAGCATATGTACTGGAAGACTGGCCACACTCCCCAGTAGAATACTCCCTTGTGGAGCTGGGGAGTGATAGTAAGTACAGGCCCCGGACCTTTTTCCTAGCGCTCCCTCAAGTGGTCCTATTGAAGTGAATGACAAGACTTTTATATATTTCAATGGGAGCAGAATTTCATTCTTAGATAGGTGTGCTGCTCTTCTGCTGTGGAGTTGTGGGGGGACAATTCTCTGTGCCCTCTTTCCCCAATCAGGGTATCTGCATGGACAGGACAGACTTTTTGCCTAAATAATAGCATATAGATTCGTATACCATTCGTATAGGAACAGTTACAGCTCCACTAATATTGGGCTTATTTCTTGCGCTGTCTTTAAAGCTCATTAAAGTTTTATCACTTACCTGTTATCCTGCTAAATGGGAATTGTTTCCTCCACCCCCCCTATGTATAGCAGGATCCAGATAATCCATTTATGTGACAGTCACTGGAACTGGTGGCCTGTCAACATATCCCTAATAACTAGTCAATCCGAATTTTGTTTGGATACAAAAGTCACCTATTTTCAAGGATAGCAAATTGACTGTCATTTGTTATTTCTGTGTTTCTTTCAGCCATAGCAGAGAAGTTCAGTTTGGATTTAAGTAAAGAAGAGATTAGCCAAATAGTAACAAAATACGACATTAAGAACAATGACAAATTTGCATACTGTGACTTTCTCCAAAGCTGTGTCCTATTAATGAAACCACAAGAAAGTTCATTGCTACAAAGGATGATCATTCAGAAGCCACGAATACCGGTACATTCAGGGGTTTGTCTAACTGTTTCTGGATAGTTTCTGATGCAGAAACAGAGTATTTTAGGGCCTGAGGCTATAGTCATTGTATGCATAGAATCCCAGTGACTTTCCATGGAATCCAGTTACTTCAGTTGACTTATTTTATTCATGTGGTATTTACTTTAGTCAGAGCATCTCCAGAATCAGACCCTGCATGTCCAGTTCATAGTACAATCTAGATACAGTTTGATTAATTATCAGCAATTGACCATATCTGTAAACTTTTTAAAAAATGTGTTGAGGGGTATAAGAAAGACCTAGAGGAAGACAGTTTGGGCTGATGAGTTTCAGGGTTAGATTCTGTCTGAAGGCAACAGAAAGTGGGGGGTACTGTCAGGAAGCTGGTTACTCCGAGTCTCTGCTTCAGCCCCAGCCCAGCCAGAGCGGAGAGCAGCTCTAATCTGTGCCTCTTGTCAATGGTCTCAATCTGCCAGCTGGGGATAGCCAGTATGCATTCCACTCTGTCTACTCTTCCTGACCTGCATCCCCACCACCAGCACACATGCTTCCAGCGTGCCCCTTGTACCAGATACAGGGAAGAGAGATGCATAGAACCTAGCTGTTCCCAGCTGGGAATCCCCCCCAGGAAAGTTACAGGCTGTTTAACATGCAATGGCACCCCCGGTATATCTGGCTTCATAGGAACTATCAATCGTTCATTATCAGTATGGAAACTAAGGCAAAACTATCACCTTTTGCTTCAGACAATTTCAGATTTTTCACATGAAGTTCCCTTTATGCACAGATTTGAAACTGTGAAATTCTGTCTCAGACCTTGGGATGGATAGAGCCATAATTTGAGCCCTTGTCTAGTATCATTTTCTGTTTATTCATTTAAGTTTATAAAGTATAATGAAGTGCCCATCCCATCTTCTGGGCACCTTTACATAAAGTAATTTTCACAATAAATTTTTTATAAGAGATTGCTCCACCCACTCCACTGTATACAAATTCACACCAATAGGCATAATAAAAAAAAAAAACCTTTCCACGACAGGAACAATAATAAAAATATCCTGTGGGTCTCAACCCCCTCCTTTCCTCAAAAGCCAAATAAAGTTTGCCGGCAACACAGAGACTCGGGGATTGTAAATAAGAGGACAGCTCACTAATACAGAGTGATCTGAATTGGTTGGTAAACTGGTCTTAAGCAAACAATCTGAGTTTTTTAATATGGCTAAATGTAAAAGTATACATTGAGCAACAATTTAAGAATATAGGCCATATTTTCAAGATGGGGGGACACTGTCCTCAGAAGCAGTTATTCTGAAGATTTGGGGTGGTGGATAATCAGTTGAAAATGCTGAAAATCAGTGCAATGCTGTGGCCAAAAGGACTAATGCAGCAATCCTTTGATGCATAAACTGGGGAATATCAAGTAGGAGTAAAAGGTAAAATAACCTTGCATTTGGCACTGGTGTGACCACTGCTAGAATACCGTGTCCAGGTGTGGTATCCACAATTCAAGAAGCATATTGATAAATTGGAGTGGTTCAGAGAAAAGCCATGAGAATGATTAAAGGACTAGGAAACATGCCTTATAATGATAGATTCAAGGAGTTCACTCTATTTAGCTTAACAGAGAAGAACCTACATGGAGAATAAAGATTTGATAATAGGCTCTTCAGTCTAGCTGCGAATGGCTGCAAGTTGAAGCTAAACACTTCAGACTGGAAAGAAGGTGTAAATTTTTAAGTGAGAGTAATTAACCATTGGCACAATTTACCAACTATTGTGGTGGATACTGCATCACTGGCCATCTTAAAATCAACAGTGGGTTTTTTAAAAAATACGATATGGTCTAGTTCAAAAGGAATTATTTTGGGGACGTTCTACTGTCTATATTATACAGGATATCAGACAGATGATCACCATGGTCCCTTCTGGCTTTAGAATCTATGAGAAGCTGGGCCTTTAGCTCCCGTGGAGACATGCAGACTCTGAGCTACGGAGAACAGTCTGGGTCCCTACAGCCAAGGTGAAGGGCTCTCTTTATACTGTAAAAGAGGGTCCACAGGGGGCCTCACAATAGTTGACAGAAGTTTACATTAGGCAGCTGAGTTTGTCATGATTGGACAGCAAATCCTTCCTTAGCTCTAGACTTCCTGAGATTAAGGTGAATTTCACGCTCGGTGCTCAGGGCATTGCTCCAGCTGCCCACACCACTTCAGCCCCACATAGCAGCGGTACAGTGCTGTCTGTGTATTCCCTGCATGCTGTGATAGAACTGGAGTTTCCAGTACCCTGTGCAGCATACATGAAGCAACTGCCCGCTGGCTGGAATAACAGCTGGGTGGGGGGCAAACAGCAGCCCCTACCAAAGTCAAAAACAACAAGAGGCAATAAATACTCCCCCAGTTATTCCCATACTAGATTTCGACTGTCCTGCCCCAGCTATTTCAACTGTAGAACTGTTCAGAACCTGGTTACAAGAAATATTATATAAGTGGTTTTTTTACCCTCCTACTGTACTCTAATTCATTGGCAAAATTTGAATATGAAAACTTGCAACCTGAACAGTGAATTTTCCAAAGAGTTAAGTAACTGAAAACAGAGGCTTGGAAGGGGAGCAGCTGTGTGACTTTAATTGCTGCTTCTCTGTAACATGTATAAAAGCACTGAGGCCTTTGTTTTTTAAAAAAAAAAAATCTGATAAAGAATTACATTAATTTTACAAACACAGATTTTGGGCTTTGATAGTGCTTAAGTGTTTCAACTTCACCTGCTGAAGAATATTAAAAGGTGAAGAGAATCTAATAGCATTTATTCTGCACCAGAATTTCACTGTAACACCTTTACATTTCAGCATATGACTGCACTCATCTACCATGTTCTTTATATTAACACATGCCCATCTTTCTCCCGCACCCACTCCACTTTGCTAGAGGAGTCCTGGACCACAGAGCCTGACATTTTTCAATGCAATGCTAAGAATTCAACCCCAGATCTTGCACTGCTGGAGACCAATGAGACGAACGTTTAAATCCTATGATGAAAGTGGGAGCGGGCTGTTAAGTGTTCAGGATTTCAGGCAGGTAAATTGCATTTACTAATCTAAAACTAACAAACTGAAAACCAAAGTCTCTAAATAACCTTACTGAAGCAGTTTCTAAAATCATGACAACTGTACATTTGCAGACTTATTTCCTGTGACATTAATACTAAGTGCTAATAATAATGATAATCACCCTCTTTCCAATGCATATGCAAGCACACAACTTCTTTCACACCAGAACTGAGAAAAGTGGGCTTCACAAGCCCGGGAGGGAGAGAGGGAAGCAGGTTGATGAGGAGAAATGCTTTCTACTATGCCTCTGTGCAGTCACTACTACAGCCTCAGGATTCCAGTGACCCACCAGCTGGTATGTTCGCTTATGAAGGGGGAAGTAGCCTTGCATACTCCTCCTTATCATAAGGCAGCCTAGCTGGAGTGCCACCCTGTTGCAGGCCACAGTTTGACAGGGACACCTGTCTCAGTTTCCCCTTCAAGTCCCCTCCCTCCCCCCCCCCCAAACAGCCCAGAGAGTCTTTTTTAGTGCAAATGGCCCTTGTGGGTTAGTTTGTTACAGGAAAAAAAAACTCCATACACATAATCCCAACACTGTAATCCAGACTATACATTAAATACAGCACCAGGACTCCTCACCACACCCCAGCTCTCCAGCACAGCCCTCTCTGGCCCAGTGGCTTCAGTTCTCTGACTCCAAGAGCCTTTAGGTATCACCCTCTACTGCTCTTAGCCTTCATCCCTCTCCAGCTTTCCCTGGCTCAGGATAGACAGCTAAGTAACCCCTCCACTGGCTCTGCCCTGGTCAAGTAGCCCCTCCTAGCTTTCAGCCCTGGTCATGTCTCCTAGCACTGGCTCTGCCTGTCTGGAAAGTCAGCAGGTTAGCCTCTCCAGTAACTTCATAATAATTCCTCCCTCCTTCCCAAGAGGGCCTACTGAGAGTCTTCTACTCACTATAGCTTTTCCTAGAAATCACCTCTACCAGTCTCCTGGCTTCTCCTATCTACCTCTTACTCACTAGGTTTCTTGCTGATCTTTTATTGCTCCCAGGTGCTGCCACACACCTTTAATTGGCCAAACTGGGAGCACCTGTTCTGGCACAAGGCCACTGGATCTGCTTCACTTACAGGAGCCAGACATCCTTGTATAGTTGGAATGACTCTATCCCCTCTTTCTGCCCCTGTCCTTGCCAGTAGAACACAGATCTGTGGTACACAGGGATACGTATCCTCTGCATGGGCTTCTTTGATCCAGCACCTCGCCAAACAGCAGAACCACACCTTTTTCAGTGTCTGCAAGTCTGCTCCTCACCTGCAGTGCCTTATAGCACTGTGAGGCCAGGGATTAGTGCTGTACTCCTGGATTCAGACTTCTGGGGAGTTTGATTGCTGCTTAGCATACATTTTACTTCTTGTTTCAAGATCCTTGACATTTCTGTAAATAGAAATCAAACTCATAATATGAACTATAGTAACTACCTACATTTACCAGTCACGTTGCAAGGATAAAAAAAAGATCCATAAAGCTGTTTAATTAACGTTGAGTCCAAGTGAGATACCAGTGACCTTCTCCACCTGCTGTCTCTGCCACTCAAAACATCTGGTAAAATAATGGGCCAGTCCTCAACTGCACTGAGTAGTTAGCCATCATTCTGCTCCCCCCTTCCTGAAGCTGCCAGGAGCCAAAACGTCCCCAGGTGTAACTTAAAGCAAACTGAAGACCTAAGGGCAGAGACCCCATAGAAATTGCTCTAATTGTCTGGGATCAGTTAGAGCAAGGTGTGGTCCAGCATCACCACATATACGTTCTTCAGACATGCCCCTACATGAAGGTTGGGGAGCAAGATACATAGAGCTATATCAGCTTTAGGCCTGAGGTTTCCCCTATATGAGAGTAGCTTTCTGGCTGCTTTGTACTATCTCAGGAGTGTATAGTCACTGGAATAGGGGTGAGGATCTGGCCCACTGTATTTTTTTTTTTTTTAATTTTTGTGTAATGTCAAGTTTATTTGTCAAGCATTTAGTAATAACTTTTTAACTTAAGTCGCTCTATCTCAAGCAATTTATTTACATTAAGAGAAAAATGAAACCAGTTCATTTCTGTGATAGGATCTATTAGGTAAGTTGATTTTTCCCCTACAATGCTTAAGTGCTACTCTAAAAAGTTTTCCTTAAGCGATTACGGACACAAAATAAATGTGTTGCATAAAAGATGGTGTGCTTGGCAAGTACTTGGCTTCAGCGGCTCCTTAGATTTCAGTTGATTTCATGAGGTCAGGAATTAACTGCAGCATAAGCAATCGAAGTGCATTTATATGTATTAAACAATACGCATTGAGCATTTGTGTGCCAGGTAATGTTTTGTTAAGACAGTCAAATAAACCCCAAAAGAAGGGAGAAATCAGAAACGGGGTTGCAGTGAGGTGTGATTGAAGTGAGATGTTGTAAGATGGAAGAAGTGAGCAGAGAGATATTTGGATAACTTATAGTAGGGAAAAGCTCTCTGCTATCAGCACTCTCGCAGTTATCAAGGCTGGGAGATATAGGAAAGGGAGGAGTGAACAGACCAATCACTTTTGATGCCAGTGCTCTGCATAAGCACTGAAGTAGACACACATACGTATATGTGGTTACTGTAACACCAGCACTATAGTGATTTCAGATACTGGCTTGGCTCAGACTTATCTGAGTTTCACATAAAATCAGTGGCAACCAGTAAAATACAAAAGGAGTTACTCAGATCAGAAGATGTCAGGTGCTGGTGGAGATCCTGCTGGACAACAAACTATTGCAGAGCCTGTGGACAGCACCTACAGGTACCCTGCAAGGATGTATGCTTTAGAAGCAGGTTAAACTAAAAGTAATACTCAGAAATGAACATCTCATTAGCCTTGGTGTCAAAGGCATTAAGGGCCAGATTTTTAAAGGTGTTTAGGTGTCTAAAGATGCAGATAGATGCCTAGTTGGATTTTCAAATCACCTAGGCACCTAACAATCACTGAACTCAATGGGAATTAGGCACCTAATTCTGAAAATCCCACTGTGCACCTGTCTGTGCTTTAGGCACCTCCATACCTTTAAAAATCTGGTCCTTAATGTCTGTAGCATCAGGTACCACTTGGTCAGTAGTGCTCTCATTAAAGTGCCCCTTCAGAAATGCATATCGCCCCATACATAAGGGTTCTCACAGGTGGAGTGAGTAGATATATTGGACTGGCTTGTTCCTTCCACTTCTTCGGATGGAGGGGACCCAGATCCCCCAAGCAGGGTGCAAAGGGAGAAGCCACAGCTGGTTAGCATCATCTCCTGCTCATGTGGAAGCCCTGTCATGGGTGTATTATGTGATTCAACCTCCACCTGTGGTGAGAAGGTGGGTAGGTGCTAGCTATTCTCAATGGCACTATCACATGGATCCCTGCAGGGCCTCCGAGAGCAACTGCTGTTTGGGCCAACATACAAGAAATCACTACCCGAGGGAGGATTCAGGAGCAGCCACCAGGGGAGCTATGCTGGCATAGGAAAGCTGGGAGGCAATAGGAAGATTCTGGTCTTTGCAGAATTTTTATGAAATTCAAGACTGTGGGGCTGAACCCTCAGGCAGTTTTGCAAAGGGTTTAAGTGAGACTTATGTGGTGCATGGGCCTTGTGCAAGCCCTGTGCCCAGCATTGAATTTCACCCTTGGCTCCTAACTTCACGTGAGCAATGTGGGTGTTGGGAGGCTGTAGAATCCCCATTGCTGGAGGTTTTTAAGTTCAGAGAAACACCTGTCAGGGATGGTCTAGGCATACTTCATCCTGCCTGAGCCCAGGGGGATGGAGCAGATGACTTCTTGAGGTTCCTTCCAGCCAGGGCTGGGTCCAGGCACTAGCGCAGCAAGCAGGTGCTTGGGACGGCCAACGGAAAGGGGCGGCACATCTGGCTCTTTGGCGGCAATTCAGCAGCGGGTCCCTCAGTCCCTCTCGGAGGGAAAGACCTGCCGCTGAATTGCCGCCGAATAATGAAGCAGCGACGGTAGAGCTGCCGCCGAAGTGCTGCCAATCGTGGCTTTTTTTTTTTTCACTTGGGGCGGCAAAAACGCTGGAGCCGGCCCTGCTTCCAGCCCTACCTCGCTATGATTTTATAACATTCTGTGTTTTTTGCAGGTGCTGCGTCAGTATCACATCAACCTGACTGAGGAAGAGTTTTTTCACATTTTGGAATTTTATGATAAATCATTATCTTCAAAAATTTCCTATAATGATTTCCTCCGGGCATTCTTGCAATAGGAAATGGAAGGTGTCATCAAATGCAAGAAACTATAGATAACAGAGCTAAGGACTGATTTATAATTTCTAATTAATAAATTAACCAACTATAGCTTTTTTTGCATCAGCAATCTCAAAATACTTACAATTCTGACAAATACAGTGGCCATAGGTTGTAGAGCAAATCTACATGACAGAACTATTAATATTCACATAATCCATTTATCTGAGAAAAATGATACCACTTAAAGTTGTTATAGTAATGATTCCGAAGACCTTACAGGCATCTGCAAAAGAAATACGGTTAAGAAAATATTTTTTGTCATTAAAGTTTTATTAATTAAACCCCCTTTTTAATTTCAATAAAAAGATTTGAAAGGCCTACTATTCACTTTTATAAGATATAATAGAAATAATACATTTGGAAAATTATATTATCCTTCATTATTAGAAAATTGTCTGCTTTACAATCTGTCTTTCCTCCCACTTGATCATGCAGTGACATATTTAGATCTCCAGTAGCTTTATATGTTGACATGGAACAGCTATTATACTCTGAACAGACACACTAGCTGTGCCTTGACGTGTCATCTTTTTCCAATGAAACCTTTCCCCATAATTTTCCCATATTTTAACATAAAAATGGAAGTTAAAAATAAAATTAGAAAGAGCTAATTTGCCATTCACTATTGTATTTGTCACTGCAAAGGTGGAAGTGTATACCTCTAACTTGCGTCTCCTCATGTTAACCCGAGATTTATTTTTATGAATTTTTTATGGATAAACTATTTTTCATAATGTGTAGTGCACTAAAAGTAAAATATCCAGTTAGATTTATTGGTTTTGCGAAAGTGAATAGTTTGAGCACCTATTAGAAAATTATGGGGAAAGGTTTAAATGGAAAAAGATAACATACCACAAACACACTAGCTGTGTCTTGACATATGTAGATTTTAAAAGAGAAATTAAAAGATAATTAATTTGGCTGCCAGTCTCTTTGGTAAACAGTGAATTTATGATCATCAGGTTCTGTTTTCTGGGCTTATATCAAGACTCAAATGGGTACATTCAGTAAGTATTAGGTCAGTACATCTCTTTGTGGCATCTTGGATCTGTTCTCTGCCACCCGGTCATTTTCACTGATCTACTGAAGAGCTCTGTCACCACAATATGTGGTTGCTTTCCATGTTTCTTTGCTTTCCTTCAAATCAAAAATAAAGTTTATTTTTAAAAAAGGGAAAGAAACCTCTCAAAGAACAAGTTCTACATTTATAAGTGAGTCTCTTCAGTCATTGTCTAGAAAGTGATCTGTGGTAGGATGTTTGAATGAAGGCATAAAAAGTGCAAACATTTTCTATACCTAACATTTTTAATGCATTTACAGCAACATCTTAAAAAGAGTTGGTAAAGTAGCACCAAAGATTTCAATACAAAGCAGAGTAACTACTAACTGGGGTAATGCACATCCAAACAATTTCTCTTTCTTATTGCTGGTGGACTTGCCAGCCATTACTATGGGTCTGATCCGAAGACCACTGAAGTCAGCTGAAAGATTCCCACTGACTTTAATGGGCTTTGAAACAGGCTTTATCTGAGGAAATACTTAATCTCATTTGAAACTTCAAAGAAGATGTTTGGTGGATTTTAAATGAAAAGTGTTAATGAGACTTGGGGTTGTTTGCCTTTGGTGATTTTGGTTCTTGATCTCTCATATCAATATGATCTGTATTTTGTTTATCACACACAGTTCAGGAACACTTGTTATATATTCAAGGAATTATACTTGAAAATTGATACACTTGAGATAGTAGCACAAAGGATACTTTGTTACATTTTCTTTAAAAAGTATTTGCCACATATAAATCCATTCAATTAGAACTGCATTTAGTGCTTAGGTATATAACTAGAATGATGTAAGGGGTTCTCCTCTACCAACCCAATGTGCAAAAGTTCCAAGTTCCATTTACAGGTAATTTATATGGATTCACAAATAAAAGAATCTAAAATCCATTTAACCTTTTTATCTTTAATTTTATTCTGAAAACTGATCTCAAGACATTCCTTTTTAATGAATATTTTCCACACTTAATGTACGTCAGTCAATGAAATTCAAATGCAATATACCTGTATTGAGTTCTGTTATTTCTATGCTGTTTGCAGTTGTAAAAGAATTAATTTTCACCAAATTTACTATTTGGAGTGTACCTAAACAAAGTATAATAAAAATCAAAACTTGGAGTAATTCTTTTGGAAGTAGGGATGTTTCTTTAGGATATATTACTAGTAAGAAAAGAACAAAACTAGAAGTTCAGTAAATTTTCTTTCGTGTTCCTAGGATGGGAGTGTGATAATTTGGTCCGATTTTAGATCAAAAGCAATACGAACACCTCCATCTCTGTGCTGCATTATGGCATGTAGCACAGCTACTGTGATTCATGTCAGATTCAGGAGTCATCTCCTTGCTTCCAATCATCTCAGGATCTCTGTTGTCTTCAGGAGAAATGGCTCCGGGAGGGGGTGTCTCATGATTTCTTGACACTTTATGCCAGTGTATTTTTCATTAGTGCTACTGGCAGGAAAATCAGACTCAACAACTCCAAAGGGATTAAAGAACAATCTTTTTGCTGTAAAAACAAATCAAATCATGCTGGTTTTTTTAGTGAGTTCTTAAAGGCATGGATGGCATTTGCCAACTGTTTATCCAACCTCAAAAACAAACTGAATTTCCACTGCCAGCAATTTGAAATGATCTGGGTAAACTGCTACATACATAAACTTTGCAATAGAAGAGGGTTTGCTTTCTTTGGTGTTTTTTTGTAACTATTATCAGTAAACAATGGTCAGCCATTCAGCAATGATTGGCTGGCACTGATTCCATTTGTTTTCGCTAAGAGATAGATAATGTCAATGGAATTGTGAACATTATCCCGTGATAATGGTCTCCTGCTGCTACATGTAAATGCTGAGGCAAAGCCGAAGCAGTTATGAAAATAAATGTCAAGGCGAAGCTCAGAAATTTATTTTCAAAGCAGAAGACATTGATCCTGTGCCTGTTACAATATCTTTACTTCTTTTATGCCATCGGCTGTCATTCTAACAGCACCAGTATCAGCCTGATAATGCTGCACTGATTGCTTCCTGTGCTATTATTGACCTGCTGCATTGACTTGCTGAGGTGTTTCAGCCAGCCAGAGTAGTTTGTCCATTGTAATGAGTTTTTTAAAGTATCCCCCTCTATAAAATACAAACTTAGTTTGTAGGATGAAGTCTTAGGGCTTGAGTCTGGCTGTAGCAGTGCCTCAGATGCTCTTCTAAGGCACAATTCCCTCTCTGTTTCTCCCTTGCTCCTCCGTGGATGGCCTACACCAATAGTAAACTATCACCTCCTTCCCTGCTCTCTGTGTTGCACCACTCACTCTCGTGAGTGATTGGGAGGTATGGAGCAAAGGCTCCACCCATTCCCCTCCCCTCCCAGTTTGCCTTCTCCAGTGAGGGAATAAGCAGGTGAGTAGCTGCATTTACACCCACCCAGGTAATCTGCATAGGCGTGGTAGGGTTCTTACTCATACTTGCTTGGGCACATTGTCCAAGTCACAATCTAGCCCGTAACGTTTACCTTGCAATAGATGGTCATCCAGCATCTGATCGGATGAAGAAACCATGATGTGCTAGGTGCTCTGAAGTGCTTAAGGTAAGTCAACAATGCCCATTTCAGTTAGTGGGGCTGATATGTTCTTTGACAGCCACTTCTGGACTTGTGTCCTCTAGGCTCTTTTTGGAAATCTCCCACCATTGCAGGTGCAGCTCCACCTGTGGCAGCAAATGTGGGAATGTCAGTGTAGCCCAAGCTCAGGCAGCTGCTGGTGTTTTCACCACCATGACATCTAGCCTTGCTCAGACAGGTCTAGCAGACATGGCACCAGTCTGTACTAATACTCCACCACTGCTGGTCCAAGGGCAGGAGACTTTCAAAAAAGGAAAGGCTTGGATGGACAGAGCCTTTGAGGCTTGTCCAGGCAGAACATGAGGCTGCAAAGTCATTTACTGAATTCAGGATTAAAGCAAATAGAAGATTTTAAGATGTGTTTTTCTTTCAGAGGACATTTTCCAGGCCCCATGCACAGTTTGACTCTTCCTCACCCAGTCCCTTCCTAGACCATCCAAGAAGATTTGCTGCAGTCTCTCTCTGCTGCTCTTGAACTGGACAGAGAAGGGCTGCTAGAAACTGATGGGAATTCCCTCCTCCAGCCAGCGGGTGAATGTGCCACCTCTGCAGTATAGTTTTAATATCAATATGAGTTTATTTTTCCTCATTCTTGTCTCCTAAATTGTCTGAAGAAGGCTGAAGTGACTGAAATTATAACCAGTGCAAAGGAGCGTAATCAGACCATTGTTCAACAGCTCATCCATCCACCAGATACCTCCGCTTATCCTACCGACGTGTTCTCTTATCTGTTAAATACAGGCTGAGGCACTGAATGTGCGCCAGGTTGCAGCCCTTATTCCAGCTCCTCCAGAACCTCCTGCTGAGGTTCTGGCTGCACTTCTCCCCCACACTTGTGTATATTTGCACACCCTATCCATGGCCCCACTAAGTCGAGAGATCTCCTCATCAACCTCATCCTGGCCCTAGCTAAAGTAGCCATCTACACCACCAGGAGGAGGATGTTAGACGAGGGGGTGCTCTGTGACTGGAAGGCCTATTTCCGCTCCTCCCTGGTCTCATGCATCTGGGCAGAGTTCCTCTGGGCGGTGTCCGCTGGCTCCCTTGATGCCTTTGAGGAGCCGCGGGCGCTATCCAGGGTTCTCTGCTCGGTGTCCCTGTCAGGTTCTCTTCGTTTAGCCCTGTGACCGCACTTCTGTCCCTGTTATATCTTTAGTTATCCCCTGTAATTAATTGAGATCCTGGACCTTTTGGATCCTCCCCTTAGGCTGAGGGAAGTCCTTTAGCAGTGGGCGGGCTTCTGCCCACACACTTCCAGGATCCCAACAGGCTGAGACACAGAATGCAGAGAAAAGAC